TCGAAGCGATCAATTTGCAGCAAAACCGCACCGACCCGCACCGCTATTAAATCATGTTTTATAGGATTCTAAAAATTCTTTTTTACTTAAGTTTGCTTGTTGTTCTATACCTTAGAATATAGTATTACATTAATGCTCGAGGGGAATTTTATGTATTGTATTTGATCATTGTAGCTTCCACAGATGCTTGTAATGAACTGATGGCATAGTCGTTGATATTATCATGTTGTTGCTACACTTGCTGCATCAGAAGAAAGCTTCGTAAGATGTTTAACATCGCGGTATTTCTCGTCTTTTTTTTACTCTTTGATTTAAGTTTTGTAATTTGAATTATATTTTTTATAAACCGCCAATCCGCCCGAACCGCCAAGGCAAATCCGTCATTATTTGCCAACCGAACCGCTGGTTTTTGATAAGGAAAATGGCAAATTCTAGTGACACTTTTATCAATCTGCCACCCGCCATACGGTTTCTATTTTTCTCTCAAACCGCACCGACCCGCACCGCGCACACCCCTATTTAGGGGTGAGGAAAAGAGGACCAGAGCTTGTGGGAGAGCTCCAGCTCCAGGCAAAGGCCAAGAGTGTTTATTTTGTAAATATTGAAGCCCTGACTAAATAATTGGGGTAAGTCATATTTAATATTTTTAGTTTTGATTTGATTTGGATACAGTTATATAACTTTCAGATCTTTTGTGTAATAAATATTTTATTCAAATCATCTTATACAATGATTTTCACTACGATATATTAGAATTGTTAGACGAGTCATACCTAATAAGACAGGCCGTGCATCAAACTATAGTTAATGGTGATGGTTTATGCTAAGCGAAGATGATTCATGCATTTCTAGTTTTGATATACAAATCTTCTTGACGATATATTTCTGATCAACTTATATGACATTATCGAAATCAATGATTTTCTAAGGATTGAGTACAATTACTCTTAATTATGAAGTTAGTGGTAGATTTGAAATTCTAATATATTTATCTCATCGTGTTTAATTAATTGCTTATTTTAGTAATTTAATTTTCATTCCAAAAATTCAAAACACTTTATTTAAAATTTCTAAATTAAATTATTGATCATTAGTCCATATGGATCAACACGTAGTCTTAACCGCTATTTTATAGAGTAATTGTTTTTAAATAAAATATTTTGGTATACAAACAACAGCATCAATATATAATATTTACACACCACACTGTATTTGAGTACAAATCATTTATGTTGGTCAAATATCAACTGCAGAAGAACAAAAATAGATGTTTAGAAAGTGATTTTGTAGCAATCAATCTAACTGCGTCTGACCGCAGTTTCTGTCACACAGAGTTTAACCAAAAATGGGTAGCTATAACATACTACGAGATAAAAAAACCATTATGTACAGTATAAAAAAAATAAAAATAAATAAAAAGGGCTGTGCATCCAAACAAGACCTGATGACAAAAATGGATATTTTACCTTCTTTTAAGGGATGGGTTTAAATTGAAATTGAGAAATGTTAGGGATCATGAAAATTTTTTCATGAAAATGATCATGAAAAATTTGTGACCCTTAGATTATCTTGATTACTGTGTGGTGTTTTATTGTAAGTGTAATCCAAAGGTCACAAATCTTTCATGAAAGACTTTTCATGATACCTAGCATTGCTGATTTAAATTTGGCTAAAGAAAATGGAAAATGAAGAGGCATATTTGGCTTGCTCATTCAAATGTGTTAATGAATGTAAGGTATATCTACCGCCAGATTCTTTTAATTTTGCCTGGGGAAAGTTCCAAGTTCCATGTATTTATACCTCCCTCTGTGTGTTTTGTCTCTGTGCCATTTTGTAGAATTTGGCTGTGTACTCTGGGCTTTGTTGGTTCTGTTGTTGTTCTAGTTTTGTAATCTCGTGTTTAATTAATTGCTTATTTTAGTAATTTAATTTTCATTCCAAAAATTCAAAACACTTTATTTAAAATTTCTAAATTAAATTATTGATCATTAGTCCATATGGATCAACACGTAGTCTTAACCGCTATTCTATAGAGTAATTGTTTTTAAATAAAATATTTTGGTGTACAAACAACAGCATCAATATATAATATTTACACACCACACTGTATTTGAGTACAAATCATTTATGTTGGTCAAATATCAACTGCAGAAGAACAAAAATAGATGTTTAGAAAGTGATTTTGTAGCAATCAATCTAACTGCGTCTGACCGCAGTTTCTGTCACACAGAGTTTAACCAAAAATGGGTAGCTATAACATACTACGAGATAAAAAAACCATTATGTATAGTATAAAAAAAAATAAAAAAAATAAAAAGGGCTGTGCATCCAAACAAGATCTGATGACAAAAATGGATATTTTACCTTCTTTTAAGGGATGGGTTTAAATTTAAATTTGGCTAAAGAAAATGGAAAATGAAGAGGCATATTTGGCTTGCTCATTCAAATGTGTTAATGAATGTAAGGTATATCTACCGCCAGATTCTTTTAATTTTGCCTGGGGAAAGTTCCAAGTTCCATGTATTTATACTTCTCTCAGTGTGCTTTGTCTCTGTGCCATTTTGTAGAATTTGGCTGTGTACTCTGGGCTTTGTTGGTTCTGTTGTTCTAGTTTCGTAATCTTCTCCCAGGTCTGTACTTTCTGTGCTTGGCATTTTTCATTGTACTCCTTTATCTGATATTTTAACGAAGTTCTGTGCTTTGAACTAAAAAATAAAAATAATTTTCTGCTACATTCATACATTAATTAATTACTGGTGTTTGGGTACTTAGCAGATTCAGATAGATTCATAGAGAGAGTTTATGAGATGAGTTTTCTCTCCCAAAAAATTGAAAGAAGTGAGCTTGTAGCTGGTGATCATATCTACACTTGGAGAGCTGCTTTCACTTATTCCCACCATGGTCAGTGATTTAAAAACACTACTCTCTCTCTCTCTCTCTCTCTCTCTCTCTCTTTCTCTCTCTCTCTTTCTGTGCTGGCATTGCATCATGGGTATCTGCTATGTTTTAAGTAAGGCAATTCTCGAGATATCTAATATTCTTTATTGATTTCAACTTCAACATACCTCAATTCTTTATTGATTTTAAGGCAATTCTTCCACACCTCATTCAAATTTATCAAAAAAATTCGGACATTGATAGAACTTCAAATCACCCAACTTTTCATTTCCAACAAAATTACTGATAACCATCCAAGATCACAACTTAGGCAAAGTTTAATCTCCTGCAAGGGTTGATTTCATTTTTAGCTAGTCTTGGTTAGAAATTTGTGAAGTGGCATCTGCTATGTCTGAAGATATATATAGTAGTATCTTATAAATTATAATATCAGTAAAGACAGTAAAATTTGTGAATGCAGGCATCTATATTGGAGAAAGCAAAGTCGTTCATTTTGCAGGCACATTTGGCAGCTCCTCTAATCCCTTTCCATGGTCTTCTTTCGGATTCAGTGCTTCAACTTCGAACCCATTATCAGCCTGTCCAAATTTTCCTAACTGTGGATTTCGACATCCTAACAGTGGGGTGGTGCTCTCTTGCTTGGACTGTTTCCTTGCTAATGGGTCCTTGTATCGCTTCGAGTATGGAGTCTCTAAAGCCAAGCTCCTATTCAAACTCAGAGGTGGCACGTGCACGACTGCAGAATCAGAACCGCCAGAACTAGTGATCCACAAGGCCATGTATCTGCTTCAACATGGATTCGGGGACTACAATGTTATGCGTAATAACTGTGAGCATTTTGCAATGTACTGCAAAACTGGACTTCTATGCATTATTGGCGGGAGTGGACAAGCTTTTGTGTTTCAGGTTCCATTCTTGGCATCTGGTACTTGCAAAGTCATAAAATGGCTAGCTTCTGGAGCTGGTATGGGTACGACCATAGCACTATCAACTGGGACATATTTTATGAGCAGGTATTGCAATGATTTAGGCATTCGAGTGGATGTTATGAAGGTCCCAGTGTTGGTCCTCGCTTTAATTCATGATTCAGCAAAACAGTCCTCTTTCAGAGCCAGTCAAACTTCCGATCCAAGTCCCAAAGAATTTACAAAATCAGATGTGCAACTACCCAAAATCGATGAGATTATAAAGGAATTAGAACAACCAACCAACTTTGAATGTGAAAATGATCTTGTCAGAATGGATAATATTCTAACATCTCGTGTTCTGGCCATAAAGAAAAACTTTGTGAAGAAATTGGTTGACATGGATCCCCTTGCACCAAAAGAAATGATTGAACTTGCTAACTCTTTTCTGAAGTTTTTTTCCCAGTTTCCATTCGATGTTGATTCTTTGTATTTCTCGGTGAAGGACTTTGTCAGAATGGATAATATTCTAACATCTCGTGTTCTGGCCATAAAGAAAAACTTTGTGAAGAAATTGGTTGACATGGATCCCCTTGCACCAAAAGAAATGATTGAACTTGCTAACTCTTTTCTGAAGTTTTTTTCCCAGTTTCCATTCGATGTTGATTCTTTGTACTTCTTGGTGAAGGACTTTATTGTTCAAGCTTATGAGCTAGCATGTGCGAGACAAGACCTGAATTTGTGCTGTTCAGATTTCAACGGCACTCAATTGTTGCAGAAAACTTCTGATTGTATTCAAGTTTTGACTGAAGAGCGCAATCGCCTTGAGCTTTTATGGTTGGAAGTGAAGAAAGGGTTAAAAGCCTTTGACGATGAAATTGAGCCATTGAGATCTCGGCTTCCAGTTCTGGAGGGGGAGAGGGAGTCCAAAGGTGTTTATTTTCGTAACATCAAGAGTAATTTGGAACAAACCTCGAAGAAGCTTTCAGATGCCTCTAATCTCATGGATGGGCTCGAGTTGGCATCATTATTTAATTCTTTGGAGCAATCTGCACGACTTGCTGACTTAGAAGCAGCTTTGGGAGATGCCAGAGCCCGACTCCTTTCTTAGAGTCCTATCCTTTTCTCTCGTTATTACCTATAGCTGAACCATAGCTGGGTAGCTTTTGGCAGTTTGATAAGTTCAGTAATTTTAGTAGTATGATCTTGTAGTGAGGTTATGTGGGAATCCCCTCTCTATTCAGTAAACAAATATTTTTTTTTACTATTACTTCTTTTTTAATGCTCTTTCTTGTAAAATTGTCTAATATTCTCTGCTTCAAGTTTGGGGGTCTCGTCAATCTGTTAATACTTTCCCTGATTCTGGATTTCGACAAAAAGGCACACTAAGGATGACAATCATCAATCTTCTAAATCTGTTTGACTTTCCGTCATAAAATTTAAATTGAAGACCGTAAAAGCAACAGAAATCGAAATTGATTGTATTTTTGCATTCAACATGATTTTTAGAACCTATGGTGAAATTTAATTGAAAACTGATTCGGATCAAAATAATTACATTAAATTGATTAAATTAAGTACAATTGATTAACCTCAAATAAGATGGATTAGTTTAAACTAACCACTTAATATATATAAGGGCCAACACACTTAAGCTCATATTATGAGCTCAAAATCTGAAGTTACCCTCTAGAGAGAGAGAGTGAGAGACGGCTCTAGAGAGAGAGTGTGAAGCAAAATTTGAGAGTTGGGCAAGGAGCTTGAAGATTGAAAAAGATAACTCAAGAACTAGCTAGGAATTGGAAGATTAGAGCTCCTAGGTAAGTAATGAACTCAAATTCTTGAGTTTAATTCCATAATTACATGAATTCTAGCATGATATGTAATTAAGAACAAGAATTGAGTTGATTGTAATGAATTTGAAGTTGATATGCACATGTATGTGAGAATTAGCCACAAATATGAAGCATGTTAATCATGTTGTACTGAAGGTTGTTTGACACATGCATCCATATGTTGAAGCTTGATTTCAAGCCTTGAAGCTTGTCCATGCAAAATACAAACATGAATTGTATATATATAAAGTTTATGGTTTGAAATTTGTTAAACCCATAGAATTTTGAATTATAGTTGAAGGTTCTCTTCAAATATATGTTTTTGGGAGTACTCCCGCATAATTGAGCGAGTTATACTCGAATTGGACCTTTGGAATTGAGTTTTGAGCTTCAAAGAGAGTTCTGGAAAACCTAGAATTCAACGTGTTCGCTCGAGCGAGGAAAGCGTCGCTCGAGCGTGAAAGTCGAGCTCCTAGAAGTTTTACAGAAATTTGCATGGTGCCTTGAGCCGCAAAGCCGCAAACTTTGCGCTCGAGCGAACCTTGTTTTGCAAGACTCCTCACTCTAGCGTCAGAAATCTCGCTCGAGCGTGAAATTCATGTAATCAGTACTTTTACAGAGTTTTGCAGTCCGCTCGAGCGACCAAAGCTGCGCTCGAGCTGAGAGCCCTGTTTCAGAAATTTTCAAAAGTCATTTTATGATTTGTTTTCCGTTCTCTTTCATTTCTAAGCACTCTTAGGCATGCATTGGACGTTCTAAATGAATTAAAGGACATGAAAGAAGCCTAAGAGCATTAAGCAAACTAAAGAACGGATTGAATGGTATTATGACCCGATGTGTTATGAATTATGTAGTGTCGAGTGCAAGGACGAATCAAGTACCGGAACACGGTGAGTAATATCTTACCGAGGATGTTTTCGTATACTCATTATTTTCTAAACAATGCCTATGTGGTAAGGTTCTAAACCTTTAAAGTGATAACATGAACGAGCGTTCCAATCACTCAATTTGGAATGAGATATACAAAACTATCAACGTATGAGTATGAAATGGGCCTAAGGCCGTTCAGTATATTCAATGAGAATGCGAATTGGGCCTAAGGCCATTCTGTATGGTTATTAAATGGGCCAAAGGCCGTTTGAGATAAGGAAAAGATATGGACCTAAGGTTGTTCTGGATATGAGAATGAATATGATCATAGACTAAATGTATGCACACAATGAATGTGTGTAATTATTGGACCTAAGGTCATTATGTGAGTATTGGATTTAAGGTCGTTCTGTGTGTAATGGACCCAAGGTCGTTCAGTACGTAAGTTGGACTAGAGGTCGTTTTGCCTATGATGGACCCAAGGTCATTCTGTATGTTACATGGACCCAAGGTTGTTTTGTACTTAGGATATGATGTAAAGGATCTGAGGTCGTTCTGCTTTATCATTGAGTACTAAGTGTGATAATGAACTGTGATATAAGAATCTTGTTCATGAACTCCTTTCTTTTGATATTATTCACTGGGTGTTAGCTCTCTGTTTATATTTATGTATGTAGGTGAGCAGCGGGATGTCCAGCCCCAACCCCAGTGGGCAATGAGAAGCCAAGTCTTGAGAGATCAACCAAGGTCGCCTTACGCAAGAGGCCTTACTTTTGTTATACTTGACCCTTGATCTTTTGCCTTTGATGTTTTGTGGTCATGAATGACCATCCCTGTGCAAAAGCTTGGCTTTTGTTAATGCTGACTTGAATGATCCTGGATGTGTGTATTACATACTTAATATGAATGTTCATATGGTGTGAGTTATTATATAGATATAAAAATATTTTGGTAAGCCATGTATGCACAGCTCATTGGACAATCTTTGTAAATTTTCCTTCCGTAATTTGGCCCCCTATTATTAAATATGATTCAGTTTCTCACTGAGGCCATAAGTAATCTCGCGATTACTGACCGATTATGACTCTAATCCGTAGGGACGGGTTTGGGTCATGAGACTTAGGCTTAAAAAGAATGTCTTCTAACTGCGATTATGTGATATTAAATAGTTTGCTACAAATTTGTATGCATTTTTCTTTTTGTATCTTAAAAAAATTGGAATTTGCCTCAGGAAAATGGTTGCATAGGCTCATGTGTGGTCGACGTCTTCCAAGTATTCATACCGTCTCTTAATCCTTTCAACTACGTCTATGTTATCTACCAGAGGTTGTCTAAAGCAGATTCATAGAGAGAGAGAGAGAGAGAGAGAGGGGGGTT